AACGATGCCAGCTGGTCTTCTTCCGCGCCAGAGATCTGAGTGAGCAATAATCAGTTCTTTTGGTTTTCGATCCCCATCCCCAATCCATATACTGACAAGTTGCGCCTTGGATCTGTCCGAAATCTGCGAGTGAACGGATAGGTGTACGTGAAGTTCCTAAGCGAGAAAATGACAGAGAGTAGTAGAATGTAACAGAGGAGCTGAAATGTCAAGGAAACAACTGCGCAATTGTCCCAGTAGCGTAACCAAAGTTCTAAATGCGATTACAAATGTTTATCTGGACTATACACACTACTGTACTATCTTTCCGTCAGTGTCAAGCTTTTTATACTTGAACAAAAAGATCCAAAATGGCCTAAATCATTGCACCCACGTCCAGTGGCGGAGCCAGGAATTATGCTCAGGGGGGGCCGGCCGTCAGGAATTATACTCAGGGGGGGCCAGCCAAAAGAGCCAACATGTAAAAATTAAGTGCAACTCAACTCGTTAGGTTCCTTATGACAAGCAAAGTTGTGTTTTATATGATTATATTATCTAGAAGATATTAATAGGTATATATGACAAAAATTTTATATAATCTTCCTCTTAATATAAATAAACAATATTAAGTCATACTACTAAATTTTTTTGTTGTGAAATATTGGGGGGGGGGGCCATGGCCCCTGCCAGCCCCCCCCTGGCTCCGCCACTGCCCACGTCAGATGCGTTGAACTCTATAATTTTCTTTATCTTTTCTGTACGTCTCACTACTCATGGCTGAGTCCTTTTGCTTACTTAAATCCACGTCGTAAAGTTTTGAGATGTCATATTGGGTGTCACTTGAGGATATCGCATAGAATGTTTAGATATTAATAAAAAAATAAATTATAGAATCCGCCGGTAATCTAGTTGACGAATTTATTAAGCTTAATCAATTCATGTGTTACTATAGCAACACATTGTCAAATCATGTACGCTTAAAAGCCAGAGTTCTATGTTCGATTACAAATGTTTATCCGGACTATACACACTACTGTACTATCTTTCCGTCAGTGTCAAGCCTTTTATACTTATACAAAAAGATCCAAAATGGCCTAAATCATCGCACCCACGTCAGATGCGTTGAACTCCATAATTTTCTTTATCTTTTCTGCAGGTCTCACTGCTCATGGCTGAGACCTTATTTAAATCCTGGTTGCAAAGTTTCAAGGTATCACATCGGATGTCATGAGAGGATGTTGCATAGGGTATTCGGATACTAATAAAAAACAAATTACAGAATCCGTCGGTAATTCGCGAGACGAATTTATTAAGCTTAATCAATCCATCGTTAGCATGTATGTTACTATAGCACCACATTGTCAAATCATGGACTAATTAGGCTTAAAAGATTCATCGCACAAATTAGTCCTAAACTCTACAATTAATTGTTTTTTTAGTCTACATTTAATACTTCGTACATGTGTCAAGCATTCGATGGGATAGAAAGTAAACTTTCGAGGAACTAATAAATGCCTTGAGTCACCGGAGAGTCGGTCAGGGCAGTCCCAATGGTGTATTGATGATGGTTTCTATCCTCATTAAATGACTTGCCACGTAGGCAAAACGCTGACATGGCAACGTAATTAATAAAGAAAGAGAGCAAAAATCTTAGAAATGATTTTCTCATGAAGAAATCAGGTCTTCTCTTGACCCAGTGCACCAAGAAACCATGAAATCGTCATTGGAAAGAAACCACCAGTTTCTAGGGGGCTCGTGCCGCACTCCCATTGGAGGAAGAAGATAAAGTTGGGAGAGAGAAAGAAAAAATAATTATTACTCATAGAATCCATGGGTTAGAAAGCTGTATTTTTTTGTGCGGTATCCTATGTTATAGAAACTATTAGTTTCTTTCATCGGGACTGCCCTCAGTCCCCCACCCAATCATGCGGCAAGAGGAACTAATAAATGCCTGTGCTAATGACGGATTAATTAGGCTTAATAAATTTATTTCGTAGATTATTAACAGATTCTGTAATTTGTTTTTTATTAGTATCAAACACCTCAATATTCATATGTGACATCTGTTATGATACCTCAAAACTTTAGATTTAAACAAGGCCCGACAGTGGAAGAGGCTCAGGCGAGGCGAGCATTCCAAACATTTTGCACCGTGCCGCAGCCCGCAAGTGTCACCTTGCGTCTCGTCTCTCGCCGGCACGGCAGCGGATGCGCCGAACAGCTCGCGTATGTTTTGGAGCATCCGTGAGCTCCAATTATCAAAGCGCAATGCTTCTTTGTGAAGCCACCCATGGAGTACTGTACGTACAGTTGCAAGCATAAACAAACTGGGCGCGTATCTCCAGAAATGCTGCTCCCCCGGGCGAAACCGGCCCTGCCTGCCTGACCGATGGAATCTGCAACCTGCAAGCATGCGCATGAGGAGACCTAGACAAAGTTGCATGGCCGCCAAAGTTGAAACCTGGCGATACAGAGTGGCTGCTCTTAGAGCTAATTTAGCTAATTTAGAGCATCTACAAGAGATTAGCCAAAAAGACTAGCTGAAATTATTAATTTAGCTACTCTTTAAAATAGATTTGACAAGAGTGCTTCAACAGACTCCGTAAAAACAAGAGGATGGTAGCTAGTGAGTTAGGCTATTCAAAAGTAGATAGCGAATGAGGCGGGATGGAGAGCTACTAAATTTGAAGAGTCATTTACAGAGTCTGTCGGATATATTTTTTCTTTAATAATAACTAAATTTACTTTTAGAAAATTATTTGGCTAATCTCTTGGAGATGCTCTTAAGGTGCCCGTCTCCATAAATTGATTTTCAGAGGCGGGCACACTATAAGACCCGCCTCCGAAAAGGCCAAGGCCCAACAGGCCCAGTCGAGGCCCGATAGCCTTCTTCGATATAAATACAGGAAGTTTGGGTTTTCATTCACTCAGTCATTTCTCTTTCTCTCCCTCTCTATCTTCAACAGAGCGGCGCGCTCCCTGGCTCTCCTTTCCCTCTCCATCCTCAGTCGTTGTCCTCTCTCTCTCCCTCACTCGCCCTCTCCTGTCTCCTTACGACGTGGGGCCGCGGCGCCGCGTGGCGCGGGCAGCGCTCGGCCCTCGACGCGGGGCCAAGGCGGCGCTCTGCTCTCATCACGGGGCCGACGGCACGCAGCACCACCTCCTCTAGGCATGGATCCACACCCCTTCTCCACCCCGAGGAGGCGCGGCCGATCCTTCTCCGGCCACGGCAGCGGCGGGGAGGCGGAGGCGGTCGAGCGTCGGCACACCTCCACCACCGGCCAGCACCTCCTTCCCTCTTCTTCCCCACCGGCTACACCTCCCTCCCTCTCCCACGGTGGTGTTGGAGGTCCTAGATCGGCGAGGAGGCGGCGGCGGCGTGCTCCACCACGACAGCGGCTCCCTCCTTGGGCCACGCCTAGATCTAGCGAGGAGGAGGTCGGCCGCGCTCAGATATGGCGCGGAGGAGGCCGGTCGTGCCCATATCAACCGGCGGTGACGGCAGCGGGCTCGATTGGGCTCGCTAGTTTTTTTTTTTAAATCGATTAACGGTGGCGGGCAGCTTAATGTGACGGCCTCTATTAATCGATTAACCGTGCCCGTCTCTAAAAGGTTAGATTAACCGTGACTTTTAATTAGAAACGGTTACAATGTCCGCTCCACTCATCTAAAATACCCGTCTTCGTTAAGTTTTATGTACCGGTGAACGGTAGTAAATTCAATGCCGACGGGCGACGGCGCAAAAACCACAGATCGCGTGCATGTGCATCTTCAGCCAGTGCGTGACCACCACCTCGTAGCAGACGCATTGCTTAAGCGCCACCTGCCATTGGTCCCAACCGATGCTCACACACAGGGTGCTGCCGCCGTGCCTCGTGGCGTGCGTGCACCAACTCTCCCTAAAGAATCTCTAGCTCGTCAGGAAGGAGACCTAGACAAAGCTGTGTGTGCCCATGCTCAAGTTATCTGAGCGAGAGGCTGTTGCAACTTGCAAGTGCCCTCTATCACGTGGGGCAGCATCGCGTGTTGGGGGGAAATGCTGGCGCACCAATTATCAGCCCTGATAGGGTGTCTAGGTTAGTAGTGTTAATTGGATGCAATGCAAATCACTACTACTGTACTCCAGAATATGATTCCGACTGATCTCGGTGCGTCAGAATATTTGCCTCCAGATTTTGCTGCACAAAGCGGAGCAAGCAGCAGTATTTAGAGCCCGTTTAGAGGGGCTTCTCCTGGCTCTGGCTCCGGCTCCGGCACTGTAGCACTACCGTGGCGGAGCCGGGAGAAACTCCAGATGTGCTGCTCCTCCGGCTTCTCTTTTTTTTTTTAAGTTTATTTTTGGAGGAGCGAGCTGTTTTTTTTTGTCATGCTACGGTAAAAAACAGTATTGCGCAGTATCTTTGAAGTAGGAGCCGAAGCACCGACAGCCGCTCCAAACGGGCTCTTATATTTCACACAAGTGGATTCACCTGCCCTGACCGTGATAGGCTGATGATACTGATAGGATAGCACACGGTTTTTGCTTGTGTGTACTACGGTACTATGTTTAGCGTTTGTGTAAATAAAAACAGTGACGCTTTTGTTTTGGCGTGATTCGTCTCTGTCGGGATCCAGAATCCGCCACCACGTCACACGCGGGGGGGCCCGCTTCCTTGGCCTGTCGTTCTGGTACGGGTGCACCCGTGGACCCGGTGGTGCGCGGGCCACCATGCCACAGACACAGCTGCCGCCATCAAGCCGAGTCAGCCTGCCGAACCACTCGGTCTTCCAAAAACCGTGGGCTGTGTGGCCCCGTCCGCCGCGCGGTATCTGCCCGGACCGTGGGCCATCTCGCGCCGCCGTTTGCCCGTTTCACCGTTCCCGCTCGTGCTTCCGCAAACGGGCGACGGCCGTGCTGCCGAGCTCGCCATATATACCCCCGCTCCCCGCCGCCGAGCTCAGCTCTGAAACCTGCCTACCTGCCTGCCTTGTAGAGTCGTCCACCCCACACCACCACGGCACCACCCAGAACCGCAGCAACCATGGCCACTTCGCTCGCCTGTGCTGGCTTCTTCTTCGACACCGAGCCGATCGGCGAGCCCCGCCTGCCCGCGCTGAACGCGTGCGCGCTCTGCTCAAAACCGTTGGCCCGCGACAGCGACATCTTCATGTACAGAGGGGACACACCCTTCTGCAGCCAGGAGTGCCGCTACGAGCAGATGCAGCACGACGCCATCCGCGCCAGGCACGCGGCCAGGTCCGCTGGCCGGCGGCAGCAGCTGTAGTCCAAAAACACAAAGGTGCCTGAGACGAGTTGACCACGCCAGAAGGAGCCTCTGGCTGAGGTGTTCGCCGGACTTCCTGAGAAACGCAGGTCTGATCGATGGAGCAAAAGATTAGAGCAGCTACATTTGTCCGTCACAATCAAGACCTGTGAATTGTGAGGCTAGAGCAAGGCCATGATGCCCGTCAGCGCCATCTGTAAAAGCTCATCAGCGCTAGCACGAGGCTTCGCCCGCCGTTCGCCCTATGATCCGCCCACATGTGCTCGTGCGTGTTTGAGCCAGGTTGTAACCACCACTTTGTAAACTGGAGCATTTTCGGAAGCTTGCTTCCAACAGCTGATCGTCATGTGTGCAAATTTGCTTCCAACAGTATAATGGAGCACGTTAGAAATTATTTTTACAGGGACAATAGTATCATTCGCCGTGTGTACAAATTGGAGGCTGTTCGGCTGGTATTAAAGCCGACTGAAACTAATTTATTAACTAATAAACCAGCTGATAAGTTAACATGCCCTTGCTCTACGTGCGATTATTCTAGGACAGAGTGACTACCCATTTTTTTTTATTTGTTAAATCGTGCTAAAGCGAGGGATGGAAGCCAATGCAGCAGGTCGGCTCCTTGCCGCATCATCTTCCGCACTTCTCCAGGGCCGAATCTGAGGGCGACTGCCATGGCTGCCACGTCGCTGCAGCAGGAGCAGCTGATCGTCACGCGCCCCGACGAGTGCCACCTCCATCTTCGCGATGGCGGTGTCCTCGAGGCCGTGCTGCCCCACAGGTTCGAGCGATCATCGTGTTGCTATTTGGTTTTTGCATTGGTGGTGCACAGCTGGTGCTCGATGCAATGTTTCTGAGACTGTGTGGTTGTGCTCTGTGACAATGCGAGGCATTTCGGGAGGGCCATCCTCATGCCCAAGCTGAAGACGCCGGTGACCACGACGGCGCGGGCGGTGGAGTACAGGGAGGAGATAATGAGGGCGCTACCACCAGGGAGATAAAGCGCGCAAGTATGAATTCTTCTCCATGTAGTAACCAAACCTATTCTTCAGGTTCTTTAAAAGATATCTTGTTTTCACATAGAAGAATGTAGATCAGCTTTGTGGCATGGTTCTCTGGTTGTATTGTGTTTTCAACTTTCATCCATCCGCTCCTAAGTCCTCATCAATAGAAGTCCAAGCAGTAATCAGCTCTAGTGTGGGTTTAACTATCTATCTGTGTACTTGCGCATTGAGTTTGTTGCCACGTACATTCTGCTGAAAATTTGAACAAAATTATCTAATGCAATTATCAAAAAAATATTATCTAACGTGCATGAAATGAAAACTGTTGTGTGCATTTACCAATCTATATCTTGAGGTTGATGTTTATTTTGCATGCTATGTGGTTTTAGGAGAGAGTGGTGTAGTCCTTGCTGTGAAGCTGTATCCCGCCGGAGCAACTACCGATTCCCAGGATGGTGTGACCGATAAATTTGTGAAGTGCTTGCCTGTCCTCAAGGAGATGGTCAGGCAGGAAATTCCTTTGCTTGTAAGTAGTTTAGGTTCATTGCATTCTTGATGCACTAAAGGCCTTTTGATTGGAGTTTTGATGCACATGACTAGTCTCTATATTGGTCACAATTTGTTGGACTGTTCTTGCTTTAGTTAGTAAGTTGTTTTTCCTTTCCAAAAAATGTAATCTGCATTTTCTTTCAAAAAAGTTTTTTTTTTTGCACTGCTTGTGCAAAAATCTTTTATGGCTATTGCTCATTTATGATCTTTTTTCTCCAGGTTCATGGAGAAGTCACAGATCCACATGTTGACATCTTTGACCGTGAGAAGGTTTTCATTGATAGAATACTGGCACCACTTGTACAAAAACTTCCACAGCTGAAAATTGTTATGGAACACATCACAACTATGGATGCAGCGAATTTCATAGAATCATGTGAACAAGGTACTGCACTGCTGCTAGGATGGCATTAATACTTATTATAACACTTTCATGTTCCCAGGTCATGTTGCTGCAACAGTGACTCCTCAGCATCTCCTCAATAGGAACGCTTTATTTCAGGGTGGCTTGCAGCCACACAATTACTGCTTGCCAGTTCTGAAAAGAGAGATCCATAGTATGGAGTCACCCTCTAAGAAATGCTACTCCTTCTTATAAATGCACAATGACAATGATATTCATTATTATTTTCTAAAATTACTAGACATTTCTTCAGCAATTAGCCAACTATGAAACCACTTTTTAAATATGCATGATGATCGTCATTTTCTTTCAAAATTTGACCAAATATTCCTTCAGCAAATATATAACTAGATCCATAACAATATTCTTGTCTCGCGTTTTTCTTTAGCCTCATTAGGATTGGGATATTGCCCATAATTTCAATCAACTGTCATGTTAAAACTTTTTGTTCTGTAATTTTTTAACAGCACTCTGCCTATTAACTGTTTCTGAACCTTCAACCTAGGACAAGCTATTGTATCTGCTGTAACAAAAGGGAGTAGACGATACTTTCTTGGCACTGACAGCGCTCCCCATGATAAACGGAACAAAGAATGTTCCTGTGGTTGTGCAGGAATATATAGCGCTCCTGTTGCCTTGTCTCTTTATGCGAAGGTATTTGAAGAGGTAGTCTTTATCTCAGAGCACTCTCATGCTTATCGTTCATCTTTGCTTCCGAGAAAAGACATACGGAGTAACCTTTTATCACCACCACAACTAGATTTCAAGAAAACTATCTTGCTGTAGGTTGGTGTCAATTACGTGGCACTGAAGTTGTGGTGGTGACAAACTATGCAGATGTTGAAAATTCCTTTTTCTTATCGGTTTATTTCTCTGGACATGTTTCCACTATTCCAGGCTGGAGCCCTCGATAATCTAGAAGCTTTTACAAGCTTCAATGGCCCTGATTTTTACGGTCTCCCAAGGAACACTTCAAAGATTGTCTTGAGAAAGAGTGGCTGGGAAGTATCCGCAACTTATAAGCACAGTTCAGGGGAGATTGTGCCTATGTTTGCTGGCAGCACCCTTGAATGGCTTCCATCTGATGATGAGCCTAAAGAATAAACGATATGCATTATTGGACGCTGCACTTGAGGAGATCAATAAGTGGAGTTTTTCCAGTTCTTTTTCCCTTCTCTGTTAGAATCAGCATAGCAAATTGTTCAGCCATACTCGACGGTTCTTGAAGGCAAAATTAGTGTTATTGAAAGCAACGACGTGTGATATGCGTATTGAGTTCTTCTATCCCATTTGGATTGCAGTACAGTTTCAGAAACAGCTAAATGTGTATGGTTTTCAAGGGTGCTTTACTGATCTAGACACTAGGCTAGAGCAAACATAAATAATGAATAAATATTAGCACTGCAGTTGTATATCAATCTTGCTGTCGATTTGGGTCTCGTTTAGATCGAGGTTAGGAACCAGTATTTGGCACTATAGTACTTTCGTTTGTATTTGATAATTATTGTCCAATCATAGCCTAACTAGACTCAAAAGATTCGTCTCGTAATTTACAATCAAACTGTGTAATTAGTTATTTTTTTTATCTATATTTAATACTCTATGCATGTGTACAGAGATTTGATGTGATGGAGAGAGGGTGAAAAAACTTGTAATCTAAACAAGGCCTTGAGACAAATTTCTCCCTGCTATTGCTACTCCTGAATCTTGTATCCTTTCGACTGCTGCTGTCCGGTTATTCAGACCTGCAGGGGATGCTGCATGCTCTCAGGAACCTCTCTCATAGCTGTCACCAGCTGTTCCTCCATCGGATATTCGGATCTCCTTCGTTAGCTGTACGTGAATGTAGCCGCACGGTCGCACCCGAACAGGGGTCGCATCTTGTGGAACAGGCACAGAGCGTAGCCCCCGATATGCAAGTTGGTGACTGCCAGGCAACTCAGAAGACAGGCAAGAATACCAGGCGTCCGATTTCTTGTGCCTGTGGCCAGGATGCGTTGCCTGGCAGGCAGCCAGGGGCCAGGGCATCATCCAAACAGGCCCTTGAGCGTGATGTAGCACACGGTTTTTTGCATGAACAAACAGACACGCCTTTTGTTTTGGCGCGGAATGGAGAATTCGCCACGACGTCATACACGGGGCCCGCCTCCTTGGCCTGTCGTTATCGTACGGGTGGACCCGGGTGTGCTGGCAGACACAGCGGCCACCATCAGCCATCGGACCGAGTCAGCCGATCAATCACTGTACCATGGCCCGCCATGAATGAAATGAAACAGAAGAAGAAGTGAAGAACCGAACCACTCCGGGTCTCCACAAACCCGTGCCGGGTTGGCGCCGTCCGGCGCGCGGCGTCTAGCCGCAGAACAGAACCATTGAGTATAGGTGGACGGTGGACGGTGGACGGTGGACCGTTGCTACATGAAGCAGCAGCTACGCCTGACCATTGAACAAGGAAGGTAAAAGTTAGGGTAACAGGCTTCCCAAGATGGGCGCGAAGGGTCAACGTGAGGGCGCACGCCGACCTTTGTTCGTTTCGCTGAAGTTTGATTTATACTGATACTTATGCTGAAATGCTGTGAGAGAAAAATAATATTGGTTCGCTGAGAAGTACGGTTGAAGTAGTGCAGCAGAACAGGCCCTGAGGAGGTGAAGGGGACCCAACAAAGATGGAAGAGGATTTGGTGTAAGAATGCTCATCACAGCCGCTAGGTGTAGGGATGTAGTAAAAGAAAGAATCCAACGACCACGGCCCACAGGTCATACAGTGGAACCTCTTTTCTTTCAGACTTGGTCAACTGATCAAGAGTAGCTCCCTGTTCACTGTATTCAAATTCATTGATTAGGAAACCACTCTTTGCGTGTGGGGCTAATTGCGCGATTATCCATCGAGTGACTAAAACTAAAGACCAGAGTGAAGGGAAATGGTCACTCCCATCCTCCTATGTCAGATACTCAGATTCTCATGGCTGACTCCCATTTCTCATGGTCATGGCTTAGCCCCGTTTGCATTGAAGCTACTAAACTTTAGCCACTTCTGTTTGGTTTGGTGGATTAAAAAAGACTAAAAAGACCTTTAGTCAAGGTATTTAGATCCAAAGTGACTAAAAAATAAGGTAGCATGAACTTTAGTCTTATTTAGCAACCCTTGATAACTAATTGGCTAAATACCTATTTAATCATATTTAGTTATAATGTTTAGATAAACAATAACTAAATAAGATTAAAATTAACCGGCTAAACTTTAGCCGTCAGATCGGTCACCCCTCGGTCATTGGAGAGGCCCGCCTCAACGAAGACATCCGTCATGGCTTGGCTGCAGATGCTGTGGACGTACGGTCCAACACGTCAGTGCCAGGTAGGGCGTGACTCAGCGCAAGGCAGCTCCGTGTATGATCAGTTGATCACCGTCCATACTCAATAGTAACCCCACACATGTATGCTCTGTCCACCACCACTGTGCTGGCAACAACTGTGCGGTGGACCATGAATTTGGAGCGGAGCACGAGCATCCCAAAAAGTTTTTGACATGCCGTTGCCCTGCATCCATGCTCTACTACAGTGCTATTGCTCTACAATTCTTTTGTCCGTTTGCATATATATGCCCTGTTCGTTTGACTGATAAGCCATGAATAAAAGTACTGTTGATTGATTTGTTGTGAGAGAAATATATTATTCGTTGACTGAAAAAATATGGCTTATAAGCCAAACGAACAGGGCGATAGTCAGTGAATCTATCATCTCTGGACTCACTCACATACCGCTAAAATATAAACTACGCGCGGGACGGGACCGCGTACATGGAAAGAACATAAACTATGCTTTGGAGCGATCTTTGAGCTCCAATTATCAAGCGCAATGCTTATCTGTTAAGCCACCATCTAAACAAATGCCCCAGCTCGGATCACAAGGACACTACTGCTACCCCGGGCGAAACCTGCCTGCCTGAGGGGTGGAAATGTGGAATCCTAAGCCAGCGCTGCAGCTACTGCTTCAGCCGGCACCAGCAAGGAGAGCGTCATCACCCAGGCAGCAGAGCACGACGCCGCACAAGAGGGAGATAGCCAGATGGGCCCAAGACGTGGCACGCGGGAGCGGAGGCCCAGCTCAAAGAATCAGGGCCCAGAATAGGTGTAAGCCAGCGCCGCCGAAGAGATGCCGTGAGCATATAGCTTAAGTAGCGGTGAGCCTGTGAGCGAGGGGAAAGGAAATTATCAAACAAACAAACTCTTGTAATATTCATACGCACTCCTCTGTTCTAAGAGATTCGTCTGAACTATCTCCGTTGCTGTGCTCCTCTATCTCTGCTCTGTTCCTCTTGTATGCTCAGACACTAGCTCGGCAGACGTACGCAAGGTGCTCGCATGCACTGCAAAGCGTGCACAGTTGCCTAGTGAAAGTTGGCCGATTCCCGGCCGGTTAAGCGAGTTTTATAGGCGGCATCTATGATTGTCGCCTGATCCCCTCACGGTGAAGCCACGTTCCCGTACGCGAACGAACAGTATTTCTCTCTCACAATAAATTAGCCAACAGTATTTTCAGTCATCGCCCTGTTCGTTTGGGCTGGTTTGGTTTATAAGCCACCGCTGAAAGTACTGTTGGCTGATTTGGTGTGAGAGAAAAATATTATTCGTTGGCTGATAAGCCATGACTTATAAACCGAATGCGATCAAACGAACAAGCTGCATGGCCCACTAAAAGGATCCTCCACACAAAGGTACTCTTCAAGCGTCACTTGCAACAGGGGTAAATAAACCATGAGTACACAATGTACTCGCAAGACTTATCCGATGGGAATAATTTTCCAACTCCAAAGAATATGATAGGCTTTAGGGTTTGCTGGTTTTCTTTAGCAGAAAGCAATACTAATAGTGAGTCCTTATTTATGTATACTTATTATCACCCGTATTAAGTTATCATCTAACCAGTCTATATAAGCACTTGTTCTACTTTCAAGCAAAAGTTGAGCAATCAGTTTTATTTCTTCTTCTTTCAACTTTCAGTTCTTACTATAGTGCTAAACACGAGACAAGCCGTACCGAATCGTCCGGCGATTCACGAATCAATGTGTCCAGCTAGGTGTCCCGAAAACACACGCCCCGCTTGCACCCCAGGCACAAGTAGGACTAACCCATCACTCTCCTGTCCCGGGTGTCCAGGTCCCCGTCAAAACTTGGACTTCAAGCCCCCACTTCTGAGTCCCGGACTCAGTGTGGTGCAAGGACCTCCACCACCTCATTTTTCCATCAGTCGGTCCGGAAAGAGCCGGATCCACGACAAGAGAGCAACAAGTCTTCCTCGCGTCCATACCCAAGTATGCGCTCGGGACAATAAATATGTGACTTGCCCACGATGTCTTATGCAACGACCGGTCCTTAATCGACACAGACAGGAAAAAAGTGTAACCGAGCTATGCCCTGTTGGCCGCAAAACACAACCCTTTACACCCACCAATACCCAAATCATATCCCTACCCAGTCACTATTTGCCTTTCCATTATTTTATCATGAGTGATCATATTTTATCACCTATGTGTGAGTAACGGCAGGTTACTCACGCTACCGATATACTGAACATAGCAGCTACTCGACCTGCACTGGTAGGACTCATGGGTAGATATATTTATGCATGTAGTTTCCATAAAATGCCTGTAACGTAAATACACATCATATATATATTCAGTGATCATTAAAAATAGGGGTTATGCACCGGGGCTTGTCTTGGGCAGGCGCCGGGTCAGCAGGGTCAGCACCAACAGGCTCCTGGGCTTCCTCCTGTGCGAAGATCTCCTCCTCGTACTCCTCGATCACCTCATCGTACTCCGGCTCGCCGACGGACACAAAGTCCACCAGCTCGTGATCTATATGCATGAAATGACGATGCAATGCTTAGGAATATGACAACATCAACTCTTACAATAACAGTACATCGATTTAACTACTAAGCTAGTATTACCGACCATGGTGCTAAGCTATCTGATAACAAGTTTGAAATATGACATTTATTATTATTATAGTAACTCACATCAAACTTGAGATATTCTTACTTCTAATGACACTTTTTGATTTACTCATGATATTTTGAGCCTAACTAGTTATACAATTAAG